TTTGAGATTCAAAGTTTGATGGCAACTTTGTTGCATGTAGTATTGGAATCCCACTAAAGAAACAAAAGATAATATGGGGGTGGAGGAACCAAATTTAACCAACTCTTGAGCAAGTTTATAAAGGAGTTGTTTTTTTCATTCTTTTAGGAAAGGTTCGAATCCACCTTTAATTATACACATATATCAACTTCAAATAAAAAAATTTCTAGGGTTCCTTAGTGAGGCATAAGCATATAATTAGAGTAGACGATATATTTTATATAGTTTAACTACATAATAGACGAATAAAAATACACAAAAAAAATTAAATTTGAAATCGGAAATGTCTAATAAAACACTGTATTAGGAAGTAAAGTGTTCATGAATTGCAACAAAACTTATTTTGAGTATATAAATTAAATATTTTGTCATGTTAAAGGAATTAAATCTATAAAACCTAATCACCATTTCACTTAAACTTATTTGATTGAGCACCAGTATAAAGAAAAACTTTCAAAATTTATGATTTTAAATAAACAATTACATTATTGTGTTTTAGATAGTAAAAAAAATTACAGGTAAAATGGAACAAAGAGAATCAAAATGAAATAGGGGTTTAGGGTTTAAGTCTCTCAATATTCTATTTAGTTTTCTTGTTTCTCCCCAAATCAAGAATTGTGAAAATCAGTATGTGGGCGATTCGTCGATCATCTTCTTCCCTCAAGTAAGCTTTCTCCTTTTTCTCTCATTCTGCATTTTGGGGTTTGTTTTTTTGTTCTTTGTACTTCACATTTGTTCGAGTCTCGATGGATAGAGTTACCCGATACTTGTGTCAGTTGAAGCTAGCAGGTACCTCTAGAATTAGTGTAGGTGCGAGAAAGCTGGCCCAAACAATCATGATTATTTAAAAAAAGATGTTCTTTGTGCTTTTCTCGAAGTGATCTTTCTCCATTTACATATTTTGCTGCATTTTGTTGGGTTCTATACATTTTTTGTTCCTTGTGACTAAAAGTCTCTATCTTTCACTACTAGAAATATTATTTGTGTTTCCCATATGTCCGAGCATTGGTGGATAGAGTTATCCGTACTTGTGTTGGTGGGAGCTAGCAGGTCGCGCAAGCTGCCCGGACACCATAGTTATAAAGAAAGTTTTTTTGTACTTTATCTTATTACATTGTATATTCTTTTGGAGAATCACATTAACATATGCAATCACCTTTTTTGGGTAACTATTTATATGGAGGGAGGGGGATCAGTTGTTTGAGCTAGAGAGAATTTGTATGGAAGTAGTTATAGTGCTCTACTTAAAGTGTCCTGTAAGAAAAATGTAGGTTAGAATTGGCTGGTGACATGAATTTGTAATCTGAGTAGGAAAAGCGAATTTTTTGTTTCATTAGTGTCATAATTTGGTGATACAAACAGGAAAGAAATTCTTGTGCATTTTCCACTTTTAATTGGAAATTTCAGAAATATGTCGTAAGAATGCTGTTACATATTACAATTTATGTAGGACATAAATTGGCCTCGAGATTTCATTAGCTCTGTTCTATGATCTGTGTGTATATTTTTGCATTCCTCTCTCAATAGAAAGCTTTTCTGACTTGAATAACGGAAAAGTAATGGATGAATTTGGTCGTGTAATCCAGGAAACAAGGATTTATATCAAGATCTTCTCGAATTAGATGTATGATGAACAAAGTAACCGGTAGATATTCAGAAGGAAACAGTGAAGGGATTTCAAATGAAATATCGGATCAATATCTTTCTTTTAGGGGATTCTGCAAGACGGCACATGGTTCCAAATTGTTCTTGGGATGGAAAAAAATTTTCTTTTCTTTGGTTGGCACAAAGAGCAGTAGTGAGATAGATAGTAACTTGGACGATGAGTTCTCAGAGCTCATGGGTCCTACTGTAACCAAAGGCATGCTAGAGAAAAATGTAGAGGCTGAGCTCTGTAAGGATGATGTTGATGGTGAAGATGTGGAAATGCCTCACGACAAACTAGAGTTGTCTGATAGCGAGTCTGATGCTAGACAAGGAGAATCTCTGAGAGAAAAAGTTCCCATGGAATTGTTAAAAGCTATTACAGCTGCACCGGTTCTATCTCTTGATAGAGTAATGGATGAATGGATTGAAAAGGGAAATGATTTGACAAGAACAGAAATAACTTTCATCAGGATTTATCTTCGTAGACGACACATGTATAAGAGGGCGTTGCAGGTATTCTTTTTGGTTTTATATGTTGTTCATTTATAGTGTCATTTTTTACAAGTTCACTTATATTCCAGTTTGAGCAATGCTTAGGCAAATGAAATTAATTAAGCGTGAAGACTTGATAGAGATAACTGGTTATCCTATATTTCAGAATATGCCACAAGCTGCATCTCCCTTTAGATAGAGATATTACAACTAGTTTGAAGTGGTACATATAAGCAAATCTTTCCTAATTACTACTGGCATTCTTTCCAGAAGCATTCTATTTTGATTGATGTTTTTTTTATAAAAAAATCGTTACAACAAGATCAAAGACCTTTTATTGATGGTCTCCTTCCTTGAGATATCCGGAGACAGCAGCATCTTAAAACACTACATGCTAAGCGAACAAAATTGCTGCAGAACTCTTTGCTGGTTGTGTGCATGTTTTTGGGCTTTTCCTTTTCCTTTTTATCAAATCATGTTTCAATGTGAGAGTCTCTCTTTGGACTGGATACTTTGAATAATATATGGAAAATTTAAATTTTGGTTTTAACTATTTATTGTAACATGGACGAGTTCATCACTATGCGCTTTAACATGGGTTGTATTGGGCTTTCCTTTCTTGCCCTCTTGGCTATATTGAAGATTTTGTGGTGTGGATCTTTTGTTTCTTTTTGAGTTGCCATGTCAGCTTGTGTTTACATATGAATTTGTTGGAAGATGACTTATATGAGAAATATTAAGTATTATGGTTCGGAGAACAAAATTTCCAATAACTCATGTTTATTACTCATCGGATTTGGTTTTGGAGTAATGCACTTGTTTAAGCTTCATGTAACAATAATTCAATAAGAGCTTGTAGCATTTGATTAGTTTATTGCTATGTCGCTGTTAATTGAGTATATTTTTCCTTCTCTTGGCAGCTCTTTGAGTGGTTGGAGTTGAAAAGGCAACTTATATTTACTGATAAAGATTATGCTTCTCATGTTGATTTAATTGCCAAAGTCCATGGTATACACAAGGCAGAAACTTATGTGGAGAGAGTACCGAAGTCTTTCAGATCTGAAGTTGTTTATCTAAGTCTATTGGCCAATTGTGCTTATAAAGGTTACATGAAGAAATCTGAGGAGATATTTAACAAAATGAGGAACCTTGGATTCCCACTCACAAGCTCTGTTTGCAGTCACTTGCTCCTTCTATATAAGAAAGATAAAAAGAAGATTGTGGATGTTCTCTTGCTAATGAAAAAGGAAAACGTAAAGCCAACTGACATCATTTACCAAATACTTATAGATACTAAGGGTCAATCTAATGATATTGCTGGAATGGAGCAAATTATTGAGACCATGAAGGCTGAAGGGATGGAACCTAAAATGTATACAAAAAGCATCATTGCGAAGCATTATATCTTTGGTGGTCTTGTAGGAAAGGCAGAGAATGTACTCAAACAAATGGAAGGAGAGATAGAGGAAAACCATATGGTCTGTCGGCATTTGATTGCTCTTTATGCAAATCTTAAAAAGGTTGATGATGTGCGCAGAATCTGGCAACTATGTGAGCCTAATGCACGGATTATTGATTGCATGACTGCTATTGAAGCTTTTGGTAAGCTGCATAAAATTGAGGAAGCTGAAGCTGTCTTTGATAAGATGTCAAAAGAAGGAAAACATCTTACATCAAAGCATTATTATCCTCTATTGTGTATTTATGCAAGTCATAAGATGTTGGCCAAAGGAAAAGATCTCGTCAAGCGGATGTCGGAGAGTGGCTGCCCGATCGGGCCATTAACTTGGGATGGCCTTATAAGACTTTATATTAAAGCAGGAGAAGTGGAGAAAGCAGACACTATTTTGCAAGAAGCGGCACAACATACCTACTTGAAACCGAAATTTACTTCTTATGTGGCTGTGATGGAAGAATATGCAAAGAGAGGCGAAGTTCATGATACCGAAAAGATATTTTACAAAATGAGACAAGCTGGATATGTTTGTAGAATTCACCAGTTCCAGTGTCTTATTCAAGCCTATATCAATGCCAAAGCTCCTTGTTATGGAATTGCTGATAGAATGAAAGCTGACAATGTATTTCCAAATAGAGTATTGGAAAACATGTTGTTACAATCTGATCCATTTAAGAAGACACTTCTGACTTGTTGAATTGATGATATCTTTATTCTTGACAAAAGTGGCTCTAGTTTCTTTTTTGTACTTATCAAATTATACATTAGTTGCAGGATGAACATTTGACAGATATCATCAATTTCCTCTCTTTTAACTGGATTCTCCATGATGCTATTCTTGCTCTTCACGGATATAAGATGTATCAATGTCATTATTATAACCTGGTGTAAACTGTGTTTTGAAGAAAAGGGGGTTTATATGAACTCGCTTTGTTGGAATATTACATTTTATCTACAAGGTCGAAATGATTTTTTATGTACAAATAGTAGATGTTAAATTCCATCTAACATTTTTATGTGTTTACGGCTTTATATTCTGAATTCCCTCTGTGAAAAACTTGGTGGAATGTGTGTTTAGGCCATTACTATATCTGTGTCAAACACAAATTCAATCACAAAACCACCCACTGTTGTCCCCCTAGTGAGGTCTGAGGAGGATAATGTACTAGGTCTTAGGTCTGAGGAATATAATGTGTATGCAAACCTTACCAATACCAAGGAGATAGAGAAATCTCCAACTAAATCTGTGAAGAGAGAGAGATAAAGTGGCAGCTAGATTGGCAACCATGTACAACACATTTATCTTTTATTAATCAGAAAAAAGAGCAAAATGAAATTGTGATTAAACTAAAATGAACAGGTTATGTCAAAGTATGAATGCCTTCCTATGTCTTGTAAGATTAATAGGTACCATGAACTTTATCAACAGCCATGCATCAAATCAGTCTCAAAAACGTTCTAGTAGCCTCTAAAAATACATGGAAAGCATCGAGATTAAGAAACGTGAAACCACCCAAGATCTTTCAGTTCTCAAACTTCCAGATTCAGACAGCCAAACACTCACCAATAAAGATGGAACAACAGTTTCCTCAGAAAACAAAACCAAAAAAAGAGCTTCTGTCACAAATTCTTTCGAAGAGAACAAGTACGCTAGTAAGATGTGTATGTCTTCATCTTTCTCTGTTTCAAGTGTAAGCCAGCTCAACTTGAAATTGTGACTCCATATGTACCAGGGGAACAACAAAAACTTGTGGGCAGAATATAGACCAGAAGTGCGTGAAGGGCTCCAACTTCTTTCGTTTCTTTAAATACCTTTCTCGGAATGTAAGTAAGTTTTGTGTCATGACCAAGTTAAATTAAGAAATCTGCTATACAGAATCTCCGACCTTGATATCAAACTTGAGCAGATGTTGAACTTCTCAAAGCTGCTTCACGTTCCTGACGCCGACGCTCTCTCTGAAATAGATTTAGAAAATAAGTTATCAGTAATATGGGTGAAAGAGGACAAAGATAAAAGTAATACTAACTTAGAGCATCACCAATCTTCAAGAAAACACCTACTCAAACTCAAAGGTGTTCTTGTACTAAAAGCAACTTTTCTCTGGATCAGTAACATAATCAACTGCTGCACTAAAGCTGCAGCAGCTTTGAACATGTTGAAGATAATTTTATGATTTATGTGAAGATGGCAAAAAGACTCAAGTTCTATGAAGAAAGTGATATAAATAGCAAAAACCTTTATTCAAATAAATGTCTCGTCATGGAAAATAACTTGGCCAGAGAATCATAAACATGGAAGAAACGGAAAAGCACTAATAGAAGCTTATGATTGCTGAAATGAAGAATTGTCTTCAGTTTGATTGTGGATATGATGGTAACAAGTCTTACTCTTCTTTCCCAATATGGATGGAAGCATACGAAATCATAGACAGGAGTTATAGTTGAGACCAAAACAACGTTAAGTCCAGTAAACAGCAGGAGACCTGCCATAGGTCGAGCTCTGTGAGGCATTGTTGATATATGATGACTTTGAACTCTGTAAGAAACAAGCCCGCATTCAGTATACAAAACTGAAACTCAAGTACAAAAAGTAAAACTATCTAAATCACATTCAGTACTGAATAATTGCACACACCTCTATTCAGTACATGGGCACAAACAAATCTATGTAATGTAGGTTGATTATATCCTATAGGTGATAGCATGAAACCATTTTTTTTCACAAAATAAGCGGGGTAATCATCATCAACAAGAATGTACCTGGTGTAGTCCCACATGGTGGAGTAAGGGAGGGTAGAGTGTATCCAGACCTTATCCTACCTCACAAAGGTAGATAGGTTGTTTTCGAAAGACCCCAACTCAAGAAACACATATCAAAGAGCATACAGAAGAAAAGAGATATAACAAGTACTAGAGGAAGCATTACATAGCATACAATAAAATGAAACAGTACCAACAACAAATTAATGCGATAACCAAAACACAATCTTTAGGAACATAAATCGAAGGACAAGAAACTACGCAAAATTGTTAATTACTACTTTATAAAGGAAAAATAGGTATGGGCATCAAACTACCATCAAGCCTAACCCGCAGGAAAACAAGACAACACTCAACTATCTACTAAACTTCTACCGTAATCCGCCACTCCAAATCATGTGTATAAGCTAAAAATGATGTTCTTTTTTCAATTTTTAGAAGTAAAAAAACAAATAAAGTTTCCCTCTTTTTATTTCACATCAAGGATTACGTTTCTATTAGCAAAAATAGCTAACCCAACTGCTCTGAATTCTAATTTCTATTAGCAAAAATAGTTACACTGCAAAAGCTCAAATTTAATCTTAAATCAGCTCCCACTAACTAATAATCCAAATCTAGATAAACAAAAGATAATTAACTCGAACAATCAATGAGAGATTAACGGAACTCACAACTCAATTTTGCCGGAGAGTCGCCGGAGATAGGCGGAGATCAGTTTTCCGATAAATTAGACGGAGAAATTCGCAGGGAAGTGGTAAATGGTGTAGACTTGGGCCTAATCTTAATTTCTAAAATTGGGCCAATGTTCATTAAAATTTGGGCTTCCTTCTAAATGGGCCCAGATTCATGTTTTAATGATGAAAATTGTGTAAAAATTTATGAAATTTCGTATAAATTAAATGTTTCTCCAAAAATACAAACAAACAAAGAAAAAGTTAATATGTTATCTCTCATAAAACGATTAAGATGATATGCACTAAACACATATAGGTATACTAGATGTTGTGTGCCCGTGCCCTACATTATTGTGTGTTTATGTCATTTAATTTGTATCGGTTCAGTTATCAATTTAGCCGTTATAATTTCATTCTTCTTCACTACAAATCATTTAGAAAACAAAGTAACAAACCAAATAAATTATGCATATGAGTTGATAGAATGCATCTAGCTAAGAAGCAAACACAGACACTTTACAACATAACTAAGCGTTTGAGACAGTGAGAAGTAAAAGTATAAAATCAACCCTAAGTGAAGGCCTCTATATGTCAAAGGGTATAATTATAATTTATTACATTGGGTTATAGATTAGTTTGCTAAAAAAAAATCTCAAATTATCATAGAACTGATAACTCGATAAGAAAAATCTTGATTATCTTATAGCTTTAACATTTGCAGTTCATTTGGTACAAAATTGCTTCTAAAATATATTTTTTCTAGGCAAGCAGCAAAGTTTTGTCACTTCATAGGGAAGCATGTTCCTCTTTAAATGACATCCTTGAGTAACACTTCATAGCCTAAGTCCAAACCATAATCTTCGGAAAAATGTATTCTAGATTTGCATTTGACAGCATTCCGGATGTACTATCCAAGGCCGCCACATTTCGAAATGTTCATATTGACTATCAATCTTCTAGAAAGATTTAACCCAAGATCTTGAGGTCTTAGACCCTTCTTTGATTCTCCTTATTTTAAACTTGGATCAAAGAGACAGGAGATGACTAACTGTCCACTCCTCTTGGCCAAATTCCAATTAAAATTAAGCTTATCCGAACAACCAAACCTGAACCATCTTATACAAAATATCATTATTAAAGAGCTGCACTAATACCTAACTTAACACTTGTAAACCTCAATTATATAAAGAAATGAATCATCAGCTAGAGACGTAAGATAAAATGAGGGATATCCTAAAGTAAAGACATAAAAGCTACTAAACAAATAATCTGAAGGAAAATTGGCAAATAAAGTAAACTCAACAGCTAAAGTAAAGGCAAATTATCTACTTATAAGTAAATGGAAAAAGCATGCAGAATAAACTTATATATTCAGTCAGTAAAAAACCTTTATTCATGCATGAATAAAAATGTATAATCTTCCTAACATGATAGAAAACAAAAAAGTAAAACGTATTGCACCAGTCTGGAACGAAAGAAAACTCTACACATGTATGTGTGTAGTTTGAAAATTGATGAGCTTGGTCTTAAAGTCTAATGCATCTGAAAATTAAAACAAAACAATGGCAATAAATTCAGCACACATTTATTTCGATTTCTGACATGCTTGTTGCTTATAATTAGACGATGTTGATTGAGCCAGCATCAGGAAATATGGGGATCAGTATGGCGTTTATGACAGCAATGAAAGGCTACAAAATGGTTTTGACAATACCTTCGTACACGAGCATGGAAAGGAGAGTGACAATGAGAGCATTTAGAGCCGATTTAATCCTCACCGATCCAATTACCAAAGGAATGAGAGGCACTGTTAAGAAGGCTTATGAACTTTTGGAATCTACACTTAATACTTTCATGCTTCAAACAATTTTCCAACCCTCCAAACACTCAGGTAATTTTAAGAAACTCAACTTAATTCATATATTCTCTGTTTTACTACAGAATTCTCAACTGTTTCATATCGAAAATAGGTTCATTTTGACACAACCGACCCTGAAATATGGGAAGAAACTCTAGGTAATGTTGACATATTTGTCATGGGAATACTGGTGTTGGACAAAATCTTAAATCCAAAAATCCTAATGTCAAGGTAAAGTTCATTGAGACAGAATCAATAAACGTCCAAGATAATCCTATGTCAAGAAATTGAGAACAATCCTATGTCCAAAATAGTTGACACCGTGCTTATATGGACTCAAGCCAACTGAAAGCAATATACTGAATAGTGGAAAACCAGGTCCTCATCATATAATGGGAAATGGGGTCGGATTCAAGCAAGTGACATGGATCTAATGAAGGAACACTGGCACTGGAAAAGTAGTAAAACGTCCTCGTACATATAACCAAAGTTCCACAATCCCTTAGAAACGAAGTTCGTGATTAAGATATAATAGAGCTAATAAGGTGAATTTCCTATCGAAGGATCAAAGATTACCTGAATTAACAACAACATATCAAGTGTAATTCCACAAGTGGGGTCCGAAAAGGGTGGTGCAACGATTATCTCAAGCAAAATGATATTACTTCCTACGCTTGAGGAATCATCAAATACTAGAAGTTGACACATACCAACAATTACTTTTGCCTCAGATTTTCTCCAACATAGGACTAATTCTATAATTAGTTTGTACCAAAAGATAATACTAAGAAAACACCATTATGGTATTTTCATCAGCGATTTTCTAAAGCAAAATACATCAGAAGAGTCACCAAACAATAATCATCCAAATCAGTAGTTGGAGTATCAATTTATATATAGATATATATGTGAAAATTTACCCACAAACAAACAAATGCAATAAGAGAAATTAATAGGAGAAAACAATTATAGCAAAAGAATAGACGAAAAAACGGTCACCTGGAATATGAGAAGGAGACCAGAGAGCTTGAGCATGGGAAGAACCAGAGAGTCGGAAAAGTAGTATTGCAGATGCAGCACACACTTGAAATTTTCAATTGGAAAAGACTGTGAAATACCTAAAATACCCTAGACAACCAAGGTGACTTTGACCGAAATACCCTTGGGCATCCGAAGAATCCCATAGTAACTAATTATAACTATTAAAAGACACAGTGTGTAAATGAAATCGATAAATCAATCACTTCTTAAATACTCCACAGAAAACAATCAGGTTGAAATTATATCTTTTCTAATACATAGTTTAATTTAAAATACATAGAAAATATTAGAACACTCCAATAATATACATAAAAACACATATGAAAGCATGTAGAAACTGAAAAACACTTAATCAAAAGTACATATAAAGAAAGAAAAAAATAATGTGTTGTCTCTAAAAATAAATAGTCAATGACATGTAATAGACACATTGAGATATAAGTAAACTATTAAAAGACATGTAACATAAATGATATCGATAAGTCAATCATTTCTTAAATGAAAAACAAATCGAAATCATGATTTTTCTAATATATAGTCAAATTACATAGAAAGTATTAACACTTCTCAATAACACAAAAACGTATTTTTCTGAATGCCCGTAGAAATTGAAGAAACGTTTCTTCAAAAATATAAATGAAGAAAGTAAAAAGGTTAATGCACTATCTTTCACAAAACGATGGATAATATGCAATGAACGTGTTAAGATATAAACAAACTATTAAAAACACATAACGTAAATGACATCGATAAACCAATCATTTCTTAAACGACAACAAAATCACATCGAAATCATGGCCTTTCTAATATACAATTTAAATCACATAGAAAGTACTAGACACCACAATAACAACACAGAAAGCATTGTGGAAATCATGTAGAAACTGAAGAAACACTTATTTATAAACAAATAAAGTGAAAAGCCAATGCGTTGCTCTCACAAATGATGGATGGCATGCAATGGACACGTTAAGATTAAGTAAACTATCAAAAGACACGCAATTTAAACGACATAAGTAAATCAACCATTTCTCAAATGACAAAAAACAATCACGTCAAACCCATGATTTTTCTAATATATAGTTTAAATTTATTTAGAACACTTCAATAACAACACAAAAACACTTCTGAAAGTATGTAGAAACGGAAGAAACGCTTCTTCGAAAGTACAAAATAAGAAAAAAAAAGATAACGTGTTGTTTCTCACAAACCGCTGAATGACATGAAATGCACACGTAGAAGATACAAGTAAATTATTAAAAGACACGCAATGTAACTGATATCGATAAACCAACCATTTCTTATAGAAAATAATCACACAAAAATCATGTCTTTTCTAATATATAGAAAAATATTTAACGATAACAACATCAATATCAATCATATACCCAATGTATTTTCACAAATGAAATTTGAGAATAGAGTATAATGATTCTATCCTCATCTCGTGAAGATAATAAAACTATTTTCAAAAAATCCTAGGCTCAAATAACACATAATAAAGCAATTGCTGAAAAATATTCACCAAAATTGTTTTGAAATAATAGGAGTCTCAATTTTTTAGTACAAGAAAAGTGAGATTATTTTTTTTAATTTAGAAGTATATATATAAGGAAAAAAAAGGCCAAAACTTTAAATGGAAAAAAATTAATAAATTCTTGAGAAGACCTGGAATTAGTTCCCTCCTTCCTCAAGCTCGAAACAAACTATTCTCCCTGCCGCCTTTGTATGATCAAGAATCCTGCTAAAACTCAAAAAAAAAAAAAAATCCATTCATGAAAGCCTCAAATATTGTTTTTTTAGCCTAATTCTCATCTGGGTATCTGTCAAAATTGTTAATTTTTCATCTGTTTGGAAAACCCAGAATTCTCTATGTCAGGTTTATCATTTGGGTAATCAAGATTCAACTTTTTCTTCTAAATGTATTGAATTTCTGCTTTCATTGTTAGTAATTCAAGCAATTTTCATCTGGGTCAAGTGTAGATTGGCCATTTATTGGCAATGTTGAATAATTTGGAGGATGGGGGAAAGAATCCTTCAGAGGTTTCAAGAGGGGCTAATGGTAGAGGGGGTGGGGGTACAAGGTCATGGGGAACTACTGTTTCTGGTCAATCGGTTTCTACTAGTAGCAGTATTGGGTCTCCATCGAGCAGAAGTGAAGCGGCCATGGCTACCCCTGCCAGTGACAACACTTTTCTTAGGCTAAACAATCTTGACATTCATGCTGATGATGCAGGATCTCAAGGGACAGCTGGGTGAGTCCTTTGTTGTTGTTTTAATGGTATCTGTTTGGTTTTCAT